GGCGGGGTGGTTTAAAGAGAGAGAGGGGAAGAAATGCCAGAGATGGCTGTTTATTGCCCTTACAAGGAAATCCCAAAACATCTGAGTTGGATATGGCTGGAATAGTTGGGACAGTAATTTCTGTCTGACATGAATGAAAAGGGATTTCCACTGAGACAATTACACATACTATAAAGTGTCCTTTGCTGCATCATTTAGGAAATTCATCTGATTGAAATAGTGTGGTTGTGTGGTATGCTGCAAACATGCTTTTCCTTTATGGCATGGGCGAGAATCTTTGCCAGTACTTCTCCCCACCCCCCACCCCCCCATTATAGTTTTGGGAATAAATTTGCAAAGCAAGAGTAGAACAGTAAATATTTTAATCCTCTTTCAGGAGAGGCTGCTTCATTTAAAAATCACTTCTTCCAAACACCATCTTCATGAAATGATCTAGTTTGATACAGGAGCTGTTCTGTCCATGTTTTCATGTCTGAGAAAGGCAGTTGGGGCACTTTAAATGAGGTTTGCCGTTAACAGTTCCCTAGTTCTCTCATAAATATTGCTGTTTTGGGCCCCTGGAAGAAGAGTATCATTTTAAAAAATGACACCTTCTAGGCTGGAGATGTTAGACTAGCTCAGTGGTTCTCACACTTGGCAACTTGAAGAGGTGTGGACTTCAACTTTTTTTTTCTTTTTTTCATCCTCAGCTCCAGCACATAGTGAGTGATGAAATCTGTGTGCAGGTGACAGAACTCTACCTGTCTGAGAGCCACAACAGCGCAACGGGAGGCCTGCTGACCTCACAGTCATCTCGGTCCCTGGTGGAGACGGCTTATCAGCGCAAAGCTGAGCAGCTCATGCAGGATGAGAACTGCTTCAAGGTAACGAGGAGAGCTGGGCAGGAAGGAGGATCCTGATGGTCTTTGAGGAGGAAGAAATGGATAAGATTAGGTTTTGGAAGGGAGACGGGGTGATCTTTTTCCTCCAAAGGTGCCAAGATGCATTTTCATTTCCAAGTCCATTCAACTTTCCTGAACCATTCTTCTAGTGTCTTTTATGGTCTACAGAAGCCTTGAATGAAAGCTAGCAAAGATGCCACCCGCGACTTCAAGGCTACCTAAATAAGGAGATCAGAGGCTTTCTGGGCAATGTAACTGCAACTGGAGTTGCCTTGGAGCAACTAAAGTGTTCCAACACTTTGTTGGAATTGGCATGCTTAACCAAAGGCAGGGGCTGCGTGGAATGAGCAGTTATTTTGATTTTTGATTTTTCTTTTAACTGGTCGAAATGTGGCTAAAGGTTTCTCAGATGATTTATGACTCCCCAGGCAGAAGCTGGGAGAAACATGCTGTTCTTCCTGCTTTTGATGCAGCACTGAAAGGAGGAGGCTACAACTTTCCCTGGAATCTTCTCCCCAACTTCCCCTTCCCTAAAAATAATCCCACTCCTGCCCCCCACCCCATGCCAATCTGAGCTTCTCACAGAAACGCTCATCCTACAACTCTCTCTTGCTTTAACCAGACAGTCTGCTCTTTGCTTTTATCGTGGGGCATGACTTATGCCAGAATCCTTAAGGGCAAGATATTGCAACTGCCTCTTGATGGAAGAGATAAATTCACAGCCGCTGGGGTAATCTTTACTTGTGGCTGCCCTTTCAAACCAAGCATTTTGCTAATCTGAAGCTTTGCCTATTTTAATAACGCCATGTCTAAATCCAGGCTATGGGCCTAGTTAAAAAAAAAAAACAGGAGATGGTTTGACCAGCATCTTGTGTTCTGTCATGCAGATGATGTTCGTTCAGAGTAGAGGCCATGTTCAGTTAACCATCGAACTGCTTGATACAGAAGAGGAAAACTCTGACGATCCTGTTGAGGCAGAGGTACGGGTGGGCCGTGCTCGGTTAGCAGTTTTACAGCGTTTTCATTACCAGTCACACAAGCGCTTTTAAGAGGAACGGCCTAGCACAGCTGTAATGGCCTGTGGGAATGACTGGGGAGGCAGGAGGAAGAGCTGCAGCGTAGACATCCATCATGCAAAAGGTGTCTCAGCCCACAGAAGGAGGGAGGGTGGGGGAAGCGTCTCAGAAGGGACCCTCCCTAGTTTTCTGGAAAGCAAAAGGAAAGGAGGGGAGAAATGCTTTCAGACTTGCAAGATTCTGTTCATGTCACCTTACAATAAAGGTAGCATTAGTGCTCCTGGTTTGTGCTTCCTGTCTGGAGTACCTCGAAGGGCTGACAGCAGCAGAAAAAGGCCTGGATTGTGCCAAAGGAAATGAAATGCTTCAGGTTTGAATAGATTGCGTGGTCCTATGCTAGCATCTTTCCTTCCATATTTTAACACGTGTATTCACAACTCCTGAATTCACACGGATGTCTCCGTTTGATTTAGGTTTCAGTTCGATGGCCTGTTTTTTGGGTCTGCTAGAAAACCAACGTTTCAGTATTGAAGCTGAAACCTTTAGCCATACAGAACACCAAATTCCAGATAACAGGTTATAGAAATTTCCATGAAGATGTTCAGTACAAGCTCACCCCTCCTAGACTCCTCTCAAGAAAGGAGGTGGAGATTCCATCCCAGTAGAATTGCATGCTGCTGTTCGGGCTCTGTAAAGTGTGGCTTAAGTATTTAGGGCTTAGCAGCGTGCTCTTTGTGTGAAAGAGAATATTATATTTCTAGAGTTGAGAGAAACACTTCCGATTCTTAGGTCTGAGCACCAACGTTTTGAAGTGCCTGGATGCTGGGAATTGTGAGACGTTTTCTACCTCTGCTTTAACGTTCATAAGTATGCTCCTTGCTGCTGCTTGTTAAACATTCACAAAGAGACTGCGTTCTTCTTACTCCCCTTTTACAAATACAGGCTGTACTACTACTGGTAGCACCATGGAAAGAAAGTTTGCAGTGATTGCGTGCGTGCATTGATTCTCACTGCTCAAGCAGAAAAGCTTTTTTCCCCCTTAAAAGGAGTTGACTGATCCTCTCTCGGTTCCCTTTCAGCGTTGGACTGACTACGTGGACCGGTACGTCAACTCGGACTCCACGTCTCCTGAATTGCGGGAACAGCTGGCCCAGAAACCAGTGTTTCTGCCCAGGTGAGAGAACAGAACCGCTACTTCGCCTGCATTGAAAGCCCCAGTGGGCAGTTTTGAGCCAGGTGTTGCCTCTAGAGATGGTTCCTGTTCTGTTCGGCTCGGTGGGAGGGGGGGGATTGCTAGCCCAGGGGCTCAGCGTGGCAGCCACGTGCTCCCAGTAATGGCCTTCAGGTTTCCCAAAGCCACTGTCTTCTGTGAATCAAGCTTCCGCTCTCGACATGGCCCACCAGAAGCAGCGGGATGGGTTTTCGGGCAGACACTAATTCCAGCAGGGCCTCTCTGCTTCTCAGGAACCTGCGGCGGATCCGCAAGTGTCAGCGGGGTCGGGAGCAGCAGGAGAAGGATGGCAAGGAGGTGCTTGGCAAGAAGACCTTGGAGAATGTGGAGAGCTTGGACAAGCTGGAGTGCAAATTCAAGCTGAATTCCTACAAGATGGTCTATGTGATCAAGTCGGAGGATTACATGTACCGGAGGACCGCACTGCTGCGCGCCCATCAGGTTGGCCCGGGGGGGGGAGCCGATGAGCCCTTGTCCCCTGAAGGGAAACTGTACATCCAGGGAAGGCAGGTGTTGGGGGACTGGAGATGGGGAAGGACCACAGTGGATGGCATCACCATGCGCAGTGATCAAGCCAAGTGACACACAAGAGCAGGGCAGGGACATTCTCCCCAATCCCCTTGCTCATCGCCCACCCTCCAGTTCTTTTTGGAATATCTTTCTGGGTTTTTTTCTTGGATTTTAAAATCACACTGTGCCCGTTTTAGACCTCATGCTACCACTACCCCATGTTTCCTGTCTTAAAATGCAAGATTAGTTGATTGATTGAAAACATAATATGGCCACCCATCATAAACCAAACTCTGGGCGGTTCCCAATCCAAAACGTTGTGTGGCCCATGTCAAATGAATGAGCAAAGTTGGGTGCAGAAAAATGGGGTTTGGGGGTATGCACGGCCCTAGAACCTCAGGTTCTCCATCTCTGCTGCCTGCAGATAATACCCTAGTGAATGGCGGCCGTCTGGAAGTGTATCTCCAGGCACCCAAATGTTCTGTATCTTCCCAGAGCCCCGGACAGAGAATTACAGGTTTCGGTTCTAGAAAGGCAGCATCTGTCAGGAGAAACGTCCTACCCATAGAAGCAAAGTGACAGTAGAATCAGTAGCCCAGAGGAACAGCAGACTCCATTTCTGCTGGGGATGCTATAATAGTTGGATTCCTGCCCTAATTAAGGGGATGGACTGGCATCCTAGATCCCATATCTTGGGCCCATTTTTAGGAACTGTCAGCTCCTCCTCTGATTTTGCAAGCTGTTTTACTGAACCTTACCTTACCTGCTCTGAGCTGCTCTCACCAAACTGGATCTTTGCCATTATTAACGGACCATCACGAATGTAATTCCACAAAGAAAACACCAATGTTGCTTCCAAATGCCACATTTTTCCACGATTTGCAGCCCTCGCAGATTAGCATGCCAGTCCTCTAGGATTATCGCCATGAGAGAAAGTTTGTTCCGCCCCGGGGGTCGTGGGGTGGGGCCGTCACAGCTTAGGATCTGGTCCACACTTGACCGCAGGGATGTCCATGGGGTATTTTCCGAAAAGCTGCAGGCAGGCGATCAGCCTGCGTTTGAGGTGCGTCGGTCGTAGCCTGACCCTTCTCTCTCCCTCCTTGCCTCCCCCCCTCGCCCGCAGTCCCACGAAAGAGTGAGCAAGAGACTGCACCAGCGTTTCCAAGCCTGGGTGGATCGATGGACCAAGGAGCACGTAACCCGTGAAATGGCAGCTGAAACTAGCCAGTGGCTCATGGGGGAAGCTTTGGAGGGCCTCCTGCCCTGCACCACCACTTGCGAGACGGAGGACTTGCATTTTGTGAGCATCAACAAATACCGCGTGAAATACGGCACAATATGTAAGACGCCCTAAACTCCGGTGGGGGAAGAGGGAAACAGGAGCGTGTTTGGTTCTGGGGGAGGGGAGGAGCGCACGTGTGGGCGCGCATCACAAAAAGTAAGGAAGATGCCTTCTTCTCCCCGCTCCCCCTTCCTTGCGCGTCTCCGTAACCGCCACTTCCCGACTCACTCAGATCTGAGGCCTCCTGCCGCCCCAGTGCGGTTGTTTTCACATCAGTCTTGTGGAACTGAAGCCAGTCCAGCTGCCAAGGAGCTGAGATCGCTGCGCATGCGCCAAGGCGTGTGAGGTATGTGAGTAGCCCCAGGGAGACCCACTTGGCCTCTACCCACCAGCAGCAGCGAGGATCCTCTGGGGTACTCAACGAGAATTGGTGCGTGGAATTCCCCCCTCCCCCCCCGACATCGCCCTTCCTCCCGAAAGAGACAAGTTTTAAGGCTAGAATATTTTAAGGAATGCCAGAAGTGCTGTGTCACTAGTCTCCACGGGACTTGGCGGCAGACGTTTTGCAAACTTTGGTCAGCTTCCTGGGTTCCGCAGGCCAGTGGTCCGACCCGTCGGCTTCTGGACCTGCCATTTCAACTTTCCTCTACTCATCAGTTGTGTTCCTGTGACCAGGACTCCTGACTTACCTAAACCAATTAAGATCAGTCTGTTCTTTCTAGTGCCAGTGGAACTATCGTTTTATTTGGGTTTTATTATTATTATTACTATTATTATTATGTTTTGTACCTGCTTGTTTACTAGCCTCTTGATGCCATGCACCAGCTTTCCACACAAACACACTCTTCTGTCTCTCTCTCTCACACACACGCACACACACACGCACACAGAGTATCTTCTCAGACACACATGCACGCTTTTACAATAGCAGCCACAACCAATTTTAAACTGGTTCTCCCCCCTCCCCTCCTTTTTTTGTAAATAAATGTACATATTTGTCAATTTTGGTTTTTTTTTTTTTAATTAAAGAATAAGTGTGCTTAATGTGCTAGTACAACTCTTACTAGCCTTTTGAGTACCAGATGGTTTCAGGGTTTAGTACTTACAGGCAAGGGCGGCAAAGTCATTTTATTACACTTTCTACCAAAGGGAGTTGTCATTGTAATGCTTTGTGTGAAAGTTGTTTCTCCTTTTTGTAAAAACAAACCAAAAAAACCCACAAAAAAAAAAACAACAGAAATGAACAATAAGAAGAAGAATCTATTTTGGTTCTTCCTGGGAAAGAGGTGGGACTTGCCTGGACCCTTCGCTCTGTTCTGAGAGGTTGCTACCAGCTTTTGCCAGGAGATCTACTTGATCTACTTGCCGAGGGATCTACCCGATCTGTTGGGTGCTTCACCATGAAAAGATGGAAAGGCAGCTTGTGCATGTGTGAGAGGGTGAGAATGAGAGGTGTGAGAACACACGTGTATTGTAGCTTAACACTGACTGTATTTCAAGCAGCCTGTTTGATATATGAATATACATATATACTTTTTAAATATCTCTCTCATTCTCACTATGGTTTTTTGGTGGGTGGCTTTGTATCCACCTGGTCTTCCAGCTCAGCCGATCGGCACTTTTGGAAAGTGTGGCTGGGCTCCTAGTTGAGGATGACGGCGCTTTTTGTGCGAATTTCTCTGCCGTATTGGGGAAAAAAAATACTGTAAATACCAAACCAGTATTTAACAGAGCTGCGTTACTCTACACATCTGGGTGGAGACAGGTCCATAAATATTTAAGAGGATGGAATGAAGGGTGTGTTTCAGCTTTGGGATAATTTCCAAGTCAATGTTTTTGGAAAAAGAAAACATCGGGAAGGCAGACAGAGAAACCGGAAGGTGGTTCTACCGAAACTGCCGTAGAACTTGTGAGCAGCCATAAAGTTGTGGCTCTGCGCTCTCCAAGAAGACATGTACTTCCCTGCACAAATCGACAAAGCCAAGCCAGCTGGGGTGGGGGCAACCCACGGGTGCTGGGTTTTGCTTTCCCCCCAGCCTGCTCAGTTTCGGCGTGTTCAGTCCAGCAGTCTCTCAGAACAGTCTTGTGGTGGTCCAAGGCAACGGGACGGAAAGGAGAAAAAACACCGGCAGGGATTCTCTCCTGCCACTCGAAAGAGGGGGTGGGCGCCAGCAGGGCAGGGAGGGGAAATGCCCGAGGGAGGCAGGGCAGCAGCAACTCCTCCGAGCCAGAATCCAATAAGCAAAGTCTTTAGTATGCCAGCAATAAGCTAACTTACCCCGACGCTCCTCCCCTCGCCCTGTGAATGAGGGGTTGGGAAGGGGGGGCTCAGCAGGGCCACTGCGTTCTGTTCCACTCGGCTTGGGTGCTTCCCTGCACTCCACTCACAATCCTCTCGAGCGGTTCTGTCCCTCCACTCCCAGGCGGGCTTTCAAAAAAAGGACGCGTTGGGAAACAGTCTTCTCAAGCAGGTTTTGCCCGAGACCCTTCCTGAGCAGGGCAGAATCCTTGCAGCCCCCATGTCTGTGGGGACAGAATCACCTTCAACAGTACCATAACCCCAGACCTCCCTGTTAGCGGGGCTTCCCAGTGTTGCTTTTCTCTCTTTTCCTCCCTCTTTCCCATAATCCTGATGTCTGACATCTAAGATCCAAGGTCCAATCCTAGCCTGTGCCAAGAGCAAAAGGTGTTCCTTCCAATTTTAAAATGGCTTTCATATTCTGTAATGTGACTCCTCTTCTTCTTCCTCTTCTTCTCCCTCCTCCTCCTCCTCTTCTTCCTCTTCCTCTTCTTCTTCCTCTCCTCCTCCTCCTCCTCCTTTTTGCCACCTATTCATGTGATGATTTCTATACAGATGTTGTAAACTTGACTGTAGTGCAGTATGTCCATTAAACTATCAGGGCTACTCGTGTACCAATGTGGTTGTCTTCTGAAGAATTAAACTCATTTCATCATGAAATTTTAAACCCCTTTCAATAGAAGAGAATTTTTAACACCTTTCATCATGAAATAGAAATTTCTCTTCAGTAGAAGAGAAATCTTAAATTCCTTTCATCGTGAAATTCTGAAGAATTAAACTCTTGACGAATTAAACTCCTTTCATCATGAAGACACAATGGAAACTCCTTTATCAGAAGACACTCCTTAATCTGAAGACACGATGAAAACTCCTTAATCTCACAGCACATGGACAGATTCAACCATAGTTTCAACTGGGAAACTCTGAGCATCCTAGGCCAAGCTAAATCCAAAAATGCTAGGGGATTCCTGGAAGTTTGGCATTCAGACAAATCGGCCATCGATAGACACATAGAGATAAACCATATTTATACACCATCCAAAGGAGACAATAAAAAGCTAAGAAGGAAACAAAAAGACCATCAGCCAACACTCAAATAAACAGGGATTAACACCAGACAAACAAGCAGAAAACATACCCTAATCAAGGAACTACCAAGGAGAAAACCACACTCCCATCAACACTGGCAGGGCAAGCTACTGTATATAAACAAGGAGCCAACCCCACACTCTCCAGCACTGATGATGTGGCCTAGTTGGGTCATGAAACGTCTGCAAGCCAACAGCCAAGCTCAGAGAGTGCCGCAGACTCCATGGTTCAACCCTGAGCTATAGATGTTCTCTTCTATTGGAATGTCTTCATATTTTATTATTTTTATTTTATTATTTTGCTGTAGGTGTTCCTGTTGTGGGTGTTCTTTCTCTCACAAGATGATTTATCTTTGTGCTTCCAGCACAGGGGTCCTTCAGCTACATATTTTAAGTAGTATTTGTGGAACATAGGATAGTCTGACCCAGAAGAGGGGCTTGGGGCTTTTTTCCGTTTTATTGGTTCCGTTTAGTCTCTCATTCTGTCTGCAGCACTGTCAGCTAGAGGCTTCAGAGAAGGGGCTCGATGGAGCAGCAGTTGGAAGTTTAGGTAGATTCCATTTTCAGCTAGCTTCACTAATAAGCATTCATTTTCCCTCTACTTATATTTTCATAACAGTAACCCATCATTATCACTTCTTGCCTTGCACAAGAACAGTGCTTTCCAGCAAAAAAATTGGGTGGTTTTCCTGACTCTCAGTTAAGGAGCCCCCAAAGTTTGGAAAAGAAAGCTTATTTTAGAAGCGCTTATCCCATTGATTTCCCCATGGCGGAACTCCAAGAGGGCAATAGCAGTGTTTAAAACTACTGAGTTTTAGTAGCTAGGGCTCACTCTGTATTTGGCCTTTTACTCTCAACATGGTATGAGCACTGACATTGCACTAGGGTGTAATTTTGCCCACAGTCAGGGTTCTTAGATGAAGTAGGGTGCCATAAATCAGAGAGAGAACGGTGGAAGTGCTGGCCCTGGCCTCTTCTGCTGAGATAGAGGCTCGCTTATTTGGTTGGTTGGTTGGTTGGTTGGTTGGTTGAAATTGCTATGGCCACCCGCTCCAGCAGACTCTGTTGTTTGCCCTCCCCTCCAAAGCAGGGGACCCAGGTGGGCGATCTGTAGATGGAGCACTAGGCTCCAGGTCAGAAGTCTAACCCAGCCAAGACTCTCTTCTTCTTTCATAAAGGAAACGGAACCATAGAAAGGTAGCAGGGTCCAAGAAGCCGGTCTCAGATGGGTTTCATTTGGTCCCCAAAGTCTCCTTGGAGCTATCCAAGGTCCTGCAGCTTCTACCTGATGCTCTGCTGTCCCGGCTGAGCGATTCTCCAGCGTTCCTTCCTTAGTTGTTCCAAACTTAAACAGGCAGCATTTCGTTATGAGCATATTTCTAGCACGTGGCCGTTTCCATAACACTGGTGCAGCTTTATCTACACAATGGTCTGTGGCAATGCTTGTGACATGGCGATCCATTTGCAGAACACCTTTGGATCTATGGCTTCCCTTTGTTTTATAGTGACAACAGTGGAACAACCGACCAATTCAGGCATGTCCCAGGAAGGTTATTCTGATGAAGTGTGGATAAGATATGTAAACTGGCTTGGGACATTAATGTTTTTAAAGGGCATTTGAGAGTGCCTGTCAAAGGACTTCAGATTCCAAGGCATTGAAAAGCCAGTGGAGATGACAAATTCTCACCATTTTCTCCCCACTTAGCTCATCAGTTGAAAGGATTTTAATAAGGACAGAGTGGACTGCCAGCGGGGGGTGCACTGAATGTCTAGAGTTCATCCAATGTGAAAGCAACTCCCATAAACTTCAGTGTGCTAACCCATGTGTGCACTATGCTGATGAGAATTCAAGAGAAACGTCTTAATTGCCCTTTGATCAGAATGGTGTTTTTTCTCTCAGTTGACGTTTAATCTATTTGGAGGTATTTCCAAATCCTTCTACACCTTTTTCTTAAATACTGGCTTGTATACTTTGAAAGTCATAAGCCTGATATTCTTCTGAGCATGCAAAATGGACATGCAAAATCTGGCCGAGTGCCCTAACCTCCAATTAGGTCAGCTTCTGTATGGCAAGCTTGGGACAAATACGCACACGCACACACACCAAAACATAATTGCTTAGTTCAAAGTATCCATAAAATTAACATAGCCTGAATGAATTCCAACTTAATTTAACAGGCCACTGCTTCGGTTGTGAACATGTGGTACACAGTGTTTCAAATTAGCCAAGAAGGGCTTTCCTTTTCATTAAGGTCTGGGGTCAAAGGAAGACGCGGCAATGGATTGCCCTAATGAGAAAATGCCCCCCCATTAAGGGACCTGCACCAACCTTTCTGTAGGAACGCCAGCTTTAAAAAAAGCATTCAAGGAAAGCATTCACCAAGCTTCCATCCTGTGGCCAAGATCTGAGATGGCTTTTTTATAAGGGAGAGATCTTTGGGACATCATCTGACTCAAAAGGGTTTGGTGGTGACCGGATCATTTCCACAGAAGTTAAATTGTTGATCAAATGCTTTTTTTTCAAGCAAAGGTCTCTAAGGCAGAGGTGGAGGGTCTGAGGTCCCCCGTGCCCTCAAAATCCTTGGCCCAGCCCCACCGAGTCCCCAAAATTGTTACTGAATTGCAAATGTTAATGCGATAGAAGCAGAGAGTGGGGAAATAATTGCATTAATTGGAGTGAACTTAAGTTTTGTCCTGAATGTGGACAAATTTTCTGGAATGTGATTTTCTGGAATGCAACCCTCATCCATTGCTCAAGGCTAAATGCATTCCTCGGCCTGGAAAGAAGAATCCCTCACTTTAATGAAAAGCACATTTGCACCTTAAGGAAATGGCACGAGAGAGCGATGAGAGTAGTGACAAATGTTTACCTTGCTGGTTTTCTACATTCAGGAATATTTCTTTTTTGGATTTCTGTGCCATTCTGCACCGATGAAGCTGATGATTCTTTCCAGATTAGGATCTACTTCCCCATTTGCAGAAATTAAATCTTGGGGAGAAAAAAGAGGTATAGCCCTCTGGAAAACACTTGGATGTGTTTGGATCTGAAATGGGAAAGGTATAACAAAACCGCGAAGCTGCGTTTTGTGGCTG